CAGTACTATTCTCAGTACTATTCTCAGTACTATTCTCAGTACTATTCTCAATAATTCTGAGCTCTAAATTGTCAACAGCTTTAAATACCTTAGCATCATACTCAATGCATAGATCATCTAGACCATATTTTAAAAATCAAGAAAATTGTTTGAGTAGAATATTTGGAAAAAATCCAGAATAGGTTTTCCTTTATTTTCCTCTTAATTTTGCTTTTAGCTGAATTGTTTCTAACTTATTTTTCAAACTTACTTTAATTTCGTATGAGTATTGAGTGAAAATTTTTAAAAAAGTAATATATTACAAAAATACATATCTAAACTTATGTGTATGGAAAACATTTTGGATATCGGGAAAAACTAAAAGTTGAGAAAAATATTTGGATTTCTGGAAATATCTGGAAAAAGATAATCCTTGTCAATGAGAATCTTGACTGGAATGAGCAACAAAATAAAAATGAAAAACAACACTATAAAATCAGTTCCATTTCTACATAAGTGCCTTAAGCAATTTGGATATTCTTTCTCAATCTATTACAAGTTTATAGATCTTATGCTACTAGCTGCATGATAAATAGTGCTCCAGTTCTTACTTCATGCAGCCTTGCAGCAAAAAAAGAAATTCAATATTTCAATAAAAATGTCTTACACATCATTAGAATTGAGACAATTAACTCAAGTCATTTTAGTATTTGCTTTGACATTAAAGGACTACTAGACAGAATCTGTATTTATAAACTAGAAAAGCTCTTTGCTGACATATACCATTCAATAACCACAAAATTAGCTTACACTAATAGCAAAAACGCTGACAGATTTCCATTTACTCTAAATATTCCGACCACTACTACCTATCAACAGTTCTTTATCCAAAAACTTCCGCATTCTTTGTGATGGTATTAGTGACCTCTACATTCTACGCAATATCGGCAGCTCTGCTTTCTTCACAAAGTAAAATGAAACGTTCATGTTCATCAAGTACAAATGAAACGTTCTTTTACATACTTGAACTTGCATTCTAATCTAATTTTAGTATATTTAGCAGTAAATAAAAATTGTACAATTCATTATAGTAATGCTACTCAACTTTAAATAAAGATTTATAAATTAAAAAGTTAAATTAAATTAAAAATATACATATACAATTTTTTGAATTGATAAATCCATATAAAATAAAAATTTTACCAATGCATGGTCCTAATGTTAATACTATTTCATCTATTCCACACAACGTCCTGGGACCATTACCAGGATTAATTAGAATCATCACCTTTAAAATTAAAATTATAAAAATATTTTTAGTTCATATATTTAAACCATAAACACCAAAGTGATGTTTCAATGCACTTTTTTTATTAATGGTTTAATAATGTTATACTCAACTTTTTTTTTTTTTTTTATTAATTTTGAGTATCATCAAAATTAATTACAGAAAAAATAAACTTGAAAAAAAATGAATAAAATTTATTTAAAAATACAAAAATCTGAAATAAAAGTTTTCTTTTTAACTTGAATTTTATTTTTTAAACTTACTTAAAAACTTTTATAATTTTTTTTTTAATTTCCAAAAAAAAATTTTTCCAAAGCAAAAAAATTTTTTAAGAAGCAGTAGTGCTTTTTCAGAAGCAATATTTTTTGAGAAGAAGCAATGTGTTTTGAGGAGCAGCAGTATTTTTTGAAAAACAGCAATATTTTTTTTAAAAAAAGCAGCATTTTTAAAAAGCAGCCGTGTTTTTTGAAAAGCAGCAATTTTTTTAACAACTTGTACAATAAGTTCTTAAATGTTTAATAGTTAATATCTGGAATCATAAATAAGTACAAAAAATCAAACTAATAACGCCTAAAAGTTATCATTACAAACTTTTGCTATTAAATCTAATTACAACATTTATTTCTCTAAATTATATGATTTAAACAGTTATTCCTATACTGTCTGAATCAGTTATGCCTCTTTACTTATGAATCTAAAAGCTCTCTAAACATTCTGAAAAAATTGTTTTAGAAACAAATTCAAACAAATGTTGATCTTTGCTAAGGTTTAAACAAACAAATAATGGTCTTTTCTAAGGTTTAAACAAACAAATGTTGGTCTTTGCTAAGGATTAGGAACTAATCTACGGAAATTTTTTAGTTACTTTTCTGAATTTAAGGGGTTTCATTTTTCAAATTTAATTTTTCAAATTTAATTCATTTTTTGAATAATTCCTTTTTCAAATTTAAAATTACAATATCTTGTCTACTATTAATATTAAATAAATGCAGTAAAGAAGATGTAGTAAACTTTGTACAAAATAGGTACAAAGTTCAACTCCCACCATGCACCTGCTGCGGAATGTTGCTGGTGAATGTTTTTTTAATTCACTCATATGTTTGTTTATAGGGAAAATTATAGGGAAAACAACTCTGTTGTTTTTCCAATAACTACAAAATATATAAAAGTTCATATTTTGCAGTTATAGCAATTAAAAAGTTAAAAAAAGAGCAGCCTCAACAACTGTAGGGCTTGTTTTCAAATATTTGCAGTGAGTTAGATGCAAATAATATTCTGTAATTTTTACACTGAAAAAAGCATATGTGTAATTTTTACACTGATGCAAGTGTAAGTGTATGTACTTATCAGTAGACTGTTATGAATTAAAGTTTTTTTTTATAATACCTGTTTTTTAAGAAAATTCTAAACTATGATTTGAAGCACATTTTAGACATAAATTTTTAAAAATTCTGAAGGAGTTAAATTTATAACATTTATAAAGACCAAATGTAACATATAGAACAAAGAATGCAACCAAAACTTTATTTTTACCAAATGTAGCTGGATAAAGACTTGATGTAAAAAATTTGTGTTAAACTTTGATTGGAGGAAAACAAACTGCTAAAAGACACACTTGCAATTATTATCATTATTACTATTATTTATTTATTTATTTTTTAATATAATTACTTTTTAAATTACAAGCATCTTACATTTTTAAACAACATTGTTCTTTTTAGCCTTGTTTTCAAGGTTTTTCAATTTTTTTTTTTTGGATTTAGTATTTTTAAGTCATCATTTCTCATTAACTTAGCACTTTAACTTTACACCTTTTAATGGATAAAAACATGACTTTTAAATGTAGTATAAATATGCAATAACTTGGGTAGTAATCAAACTTTAGCTACAGATATATTTTTGATATTTATAGACTACAATTCAATACGAATTAAATAAACAAAACGTTAGATTCAGTTTAGTTTTGGAATAATTATTTTAAACAGTTTATTTAATTTTTTCTATATATATATATATATATATTGTAACACACAGTAAATCTCATACTGAAATAAAGAGGTAAACGTCATAACTGTTTACCAATGCAAATAAAGTAACTTTTAAAAGATGTAATAAAAGATAATTTTAAAAGATAAATAAAATAAGATTACATAAATTCTTTTTATACTCATTTCTAAAAAAATCAAAAAAAGATTTATTCAAGTTTTTACTTTGATTATTAAAAAAAACTTAAAACCCAAGTCTCTAGTTAATGAAGCAGAAAATTAAGCAATTATTCTGACAACTAATAACATCATTTTTGCATTGTAAAATTATTGCAGGGAATAAAAATATATTTTTTTAAATTTTACTTTATTTTTTAAAGTGGAAATTGTCATCTTAAATTGTCAGTACTAAAGACAATAAATGTTCTAAATAACCATTTTTTTTTAAATCAGATAATATTCCAAACAATGATATTAATCAGATACACATTTCCAAAAAATTACACACAGAAATTCATGTATGTTTTGCCTATTATTTTCATAATAATATCTCCATTTTACTCTCATTTAATCATAATATATACAAATACTTTGTAAACAAAGAATGATATACATTAGTGAATTTATCAAAGAATAAATTAAGTTTGAAACTGAATCAAGCATGAAACAGAAAAATGTAATTTGGAGTTACTAAATAAATAAACTTTAAATTTAAAATTAACAACCATACAATTCATACTTAATATAATTTTCATGAGAAATAACAGCCACATAAATATTTTTTTTAATTAACCATAATAGTATGCACTTCAAGAGCTTATAAGTATAAAAACAAAGAAAAACACACAGAAATGGGAATGACAATAGATGCATAGAAATTACATCTAGACAAAAAATCAAGTCTGTGTTAGAATAGTTTAGTGTTTTATTATTATGATGACATCATTATGAGAAAAAATTGAATCTAAATATAAAATAGAACAACATAAATTTATTTGGAATAATGAAATTGAAACAATATGTGTATATAGATAAAAATCTTGAAGATGAAACTAATCCTACAGTTCCACTGCAAAATCATATTCTTATGTATATATCTACTTTTAGATTGTTGGCCTATTTACAAATTGGTTCAAAAAACCTTATACCTTACTTCCAGGCTTTCAAGGGATAAGCTTTAATAAAAACAATACTACTAAACTTCTGGGAGAAGTAGATAACTAAGAGAGAATTATGGTAATAAGGGGTAAGGTATATTAGGAGATTAATAGACTATTTACAAACTGGCTGAAAAAACTAAATCTAACCAATGTTTATTTTTACATTAAAAAAAATGAAATAGGGAACAGTTGAAACTGGCAGTCATAGTGGGGTGTCAGTTAAGGTGTTTTGCAAAAAGATTTACTTTATTATCTGTGAGTTGCAAATAATAATGAACTATATTCAATTTTAAACATGTCCTCACAGAGCAACAATATAGAGAGCAATATAACATAAAAAAAAGTTTTAAAAAGTCTTATTTATTAGCCTTATTTTTCTGGATATTTTCACGAATTATATTCTAATACAAAAAGTGGTTGCAATGACATTTAAATTTAATACAATATTTTAAAACTTTTCTAATTAAATGTATATAATTTTATAAAAATTTTATTTACCTGTCTATACATACTGTTTGAACTTGGTATTGTTATTTTAGAATTAGGCCAGGGTAAAGAAGAATCGAGTCCTTCTTTACTTGTATTTACTACCAAAACTCTGTTGCTATATGGAATATTCTTTGTAATTTCAGTTAAATTGTTATAGTCCCAAAGATCATTATCTCTGTCATCCCATATAACATCTAAAAAATATATAAACTATATCAACTTGATTGTAATTTTTATGAGCATTTTTCATTCAAAGAAAAATTTCTTACATATAGAAGGTGTATCTGGAGCATTCATAAAATAATCAAAACTCAAACAATATTGGTCTGTCAAAGAATTGGTAGCTATAACATTTAAAGCAATTGCACTTGGAGCATGTGGAATACCTTGATATAGTCCATAGGCCCAGTCAATTCCTTTCCCTAAATTTAGAAGAAAAATTCATATCAAAAGGTCTAAAGTTTATAAAAAGTTTTAGACCTTTTTAAAGTTTTTTTTTTTTTTTGTTAAAAGTCTTTTACCAACAGATCAAGTTAGTTAAATTTTTATTTATGTAAAAGACACTATATAAAATATTAAATTCACTAATTCACTTGTCTTAACAAGTGTAAAAAAACCTTACAAAATATAGTATCATAGCTATTACTACAAATATTGTCAACAAAATCATCATACTAAAATAAAGATACTATCATACTAAAATAAAGAGAGGCAGATACCATGTTAGATATATTAGAAAGATATCTATCTCAGATAGGCCGTGGCATGTCTTTAATATCAGAACATTTTTTTTAACTGAATTTTACTCCCCATGGATGAGATTGAAAGCGCCTCTAATCAACCCTTTTACCCACACAAGTCATGTCAATGTTAAGGCTTGCGTTTTCAAACTTTTTTCAAATAATCTTTTTGTTAGAAAAAAAAGTTTATAGTTATAGGTAAATGGTTATTTATTATATGTTAAATTATTATACATTATTTATTATTAGAACTGATAAATAAAAAAAAATTGATTTTTGTGTGTAAAAAGATAAAAAGATAGGTAGTATAAAGATGAAAAGAAAGCCTAAATTTTATATAAAAACTTACAATAACCAAGCAATGGACCAGACGATTCATAATTTACTAATGTTCCAATAATATTAAAAACAGGGGGAACTTCCTTTATAGCTGCTGTCTCAGGACATAGATTATCATCGTTTTCTTGAAAAATACAACTCAATTCTAAAAATATATAAAAGTTACTTTAAATGCTTAAGTATATATTACAAAATCTAAATATTATTATCAAAAATTATATTGTATTATTAGGGCAACAAAAAATATACAAATGCTTTTTTTCAGTAAAATTTATTGTAAGTGAGTAAGTTGTTTGTCAACTAAAATAAAAATACTTTTTTTGAGACTTCTGGGTATGACATATATCAATGTTAAATTCATATAATTGCTTATTGAGACTTTATAGAGGAAACTTTAGCACAAATAATTATTCTTAAAGGCAATCTAGGCATTTTTAACAAATTTAAAAACATATGATAAATATTATTTAACGGTAATCTATAGGCATTTAGATTTGTGAGACTAAAATAATTTTATTTTGGAGCTATATTATTAATAGCATTATTAAGAGTAGCTATATTATTAAAAGCGCTACACAGGTAACAGGTCTACAAGGTCACAGGGAGTGAAAGGGCTATGGCCCTTTATGGTTTCAGGGAGTGAAAGGGCTGTGAAACGCAAAATGGGTCACAGGTAGTGTTCAGGTTAACAATATATATACAAAAGAGTGCGTAAGATGCACTAAATAGGAACTGAAACGCGTAAGATGCACTAAATAGGTACTGAAAGGGATTTTAATTCTTGGATTATCATATTGGAATTATCATTAGAGGATATTATTAAATAACTGAAATCTACTTAAATCTAGGGTTAAGATTATATTGTGATCCGCTATGCGGATAATTATTTGTCACGTGAAATTCACGTGGCATAGGCTGAAAACTTTTAGAACACGTGACAGGCTAAAAACTTTTTTTAAAGATTCTTTAAAGATTTTTTAAAGATTAAAAAAAGAAAGATTTTTTAAAGATTGTCGGACAAAAAAAAAACGTAAGGTCTCGTGTTTGTGCAATTTTGACTAGCAGTTTTATTTTATTTAAATTAATCATGACAGTTAGCGTGCAATCATTTTACTTTTTTTGTAGTAAGTAAAATATTTATTTATTTTTTTTTTACTTGAAAGTAGTGAAAAGATTAACAGTTGTACAACAAAGTCCTGCAAGTACCAAGGTTACCATTTGTTCGAAAACTGCTTATATCATGTTTTTAATCAATATTTATACAAAATAAAATTACAATTTGCTTAAAACTTGCACGGCACTTTGGACAAAAGTAACTGTCTATTAATAGGTTAAAACACAGGGATAAAAAAAAAATTTTGCTGTTTGCCTTAACAGCTCAAACATATTAGGACATTATTTATTTTTTTTAGACCATAACTTTTGGCTACCTTAATAATAATATATAATGTGTACTTATTTTATTAAAATATTAAAACACTTTTAATAGAAAAAAATGTCCTATTAAAAAAATAAACAAAAGTTTTTTCAAAAAAAGTGTACCACTTGAGCATTTGTAATAATATGGACTTGCAAAGTCATCTTGATAACGCAGACACATTTCTTCACGGTTACATTTCGGTGTACACTCACCTAAATTAAGAAAAACTTTATTTGATAAATATTAAACCTAAAAAAAGTTGGTACAAAAGAACCGACAACATGGGGGGGGGGGGCTAGGACACTGCCACTACCCACCTACCCCTCACACGCACGCTATTTGTACTTTCTTTTTTTTTTTTTTTTTGAAAAATCTGGATATAGAGGACTTTTTCAGAAATTGACGATTGTGCCCCTACTTCGAAACTCGTATCGTTGGCTATGTCCAGGTCATCACAAACAATTAAAAAGTATTTAATTATTTAAAACAACTAAATGAGGTGAAAAAAATACCTTTTTTAATAAAAAAAATCAAGTTTCAAATAATAAGCTACAACAATCAGTATTTATTCTATTTTAATCCAATAAGCAGCTGTGGCGCAGTGGTTTTAGGCCTGGCCCAAAATCAAGAGGTTTGGTTCTAGCATCTTAATAACGCTGGTTCTAGCATCTTAATAACCTTAACAACACAAATGTTTATTCAGCTGAAATTGTTTTAGAAAATAAAATGTGGACATTAAGCTTCTAGTTTTGTAAGACTCTTTTGTAAAATTTAGAATGCCATTCTTTGGTGAGGCTGAAATGTCATTCTTTGGTAATTACCAAATAACGCCATTCTTTGGTAAGCTGTTGTAGACTCAGTCAATGAGGTTGTTATAAAAAAAAATTAATATAACTGCTTGCGTGCAGATAGTATTTATTGATCATTTCCATTTTTTTTTTTAAATAGATAATACCACAAATTATGCATGCGTTAGTATAGCACTACTAACGCATGTATAATATACACTAGCCACAATAATTATACAAGAAACACATCATCATAATCTAAGGATGTTTGACCCAGGAAATGAGTCTGATTAATTTATAGAAGATCAAACAGTAAAATTTTAAATTTGAAATAATAGACTACAGAGAAATTCTAGGATTTTCATTTTATTAGCTACGACTTATTTGAAAATATGAGCATTACACATTTATAATAAACCCTAAAAATAAAAATCCTTAAATTTATCGGGATCAAAAATAAGCGAAAGCTGAAAACATTATAGATCTGATCATAGCAAAATCCTTGTGTGTATGGAGTTTGACTTTAGATTCTAAGACTTTTTCTTGTTAAAAATTAAATTTTAAAATTATTTATTAAATGTAATTTTGTTAAAGTAAGAATTTCACTGATTAGTTTTTACACTTAAATGAGATGAATACAAAATGTAATTTTTTTTTTCCCGAACACTCCATCATAATCATTGCAGGATTTTATTATCTGAAGCATTTTATTGACATTGACCAAAACCAAATAATAAGTTGTTATTAATCACTCTTTCTCTTTCTTTTATGTATTTTATAGTATCTATGGACCTTGTGACTATTTATATCTAGGTTTATATTATGGTTATGTAAACATGTTTGAAATATATATATATATATATATATATATATATATATATATATATATATATATATATATATATATATATATATATATATATATATATATATATATATATATATAATTTTATTTTGCTATGTTTTCAAGAAAAATTCCAGCCGTTTTTGCTAAAAAAGAAAAAAGTTAAAAAGTTTTTTATAACTCGCTGTGAAAAAGGTTTTTTCTTGAATTCTTTATTGAAATTCGGACATTCTTTCTGATAAAAGAGAAACTAACAGTAAGATATAAAACTTAGACAAGTGTTTTTTTTACTAATTTATATATATATATATATATATATATATATATATATATATATATATATATATATATATATATATATATATATATATAATAATTTATATTTATATATATATATATAAATGTAAAATCTTTTTCACAGCGAGTTATAAAAAACTTTTTAACATTTTTCTTTTTTAGCAGAAACGACTGGAATTTTTCTTGAAAACATAGCTTAATAAAATTTTAGAAGCATTATGGTACGCAGAGGTAAAATTTTGCAAACATTATGGTATGCAGAAGTGATTTTTAAAATAGATTATTTAAATGAAAATAAAAAAATTATTTCTTTTTAGATTGTAAACATACCAACCACGATTAATCTTTTAAACACAAAAAATAGTCAAAAGAAACGAAGTTTTCAAAATATATTCAGAATTTTTTGAAAATATATTTTGAGTGCAAAAGAATTTTGATTATTTGATCCTTAACATTGCAATAAATTGAAGTTGTTGTTTTTTTATTGTTTTGTAGGTTCATTCCTTTTATTTTTCTGTTCTGATAAGGTATACCTATATAAGCAAGTTAAATTTGTCCACATATTAAAGTTTCATTTTGGAAGAACTTTTTTCTTGATTAGCCTAAAAAGAAAAAATCACAAATGATTTGAAAATATTTTTGAATTGATATTCGTAAGCATAAACTGTACATAAGTTTTTAAATTAAAACCTAATTTCGAAATAGGTTTGTTTAATTTTTAAAAGAACGGTTTTACCTAGTTTTCATGTAAATCTTCATTGATAAAGTTGAAACGGGTTATTTGTTTGATTTTTAAAAGGACATTTTTACATAGTTTTCTGGTAAAACTTCAGTAGTAAATTTGAATCAGGTTTGTTTTTGTTTTTTTTAAGGAACTGTTTTACACAGTTTTCAGGTAAAACTTCATTGGTAATTTGGAAACATGTTTGTTAATTTTTAAAAAAAAAACAGTTTTACACAGTTTTTACTGTTGAAATAGGTTTTTAAAAGTAAAAATTTGAAGTAATTTTTTGCTGTTTAATTTTTAAAAGTTTAATAGTCGCAACTTATTAGGATCAAAAAATGTCTAAAAAATTTTGAAACTTTAAAAACATTTTTCAAAATCAAAGGAAAAAAATTCGAAAATTTCGTTAAAAACTGTCAAAAAATTCAATTGTTAAAAAATTCAATTGTAATTGTAATTGTAATTCAATTATAAAAAAATTCAATTGTAAAAAATTCAATTGTAAAAAATTTAATTGTCAAAAAATTCAATTGTTTGAAGTTAAACATGTGAAATCCCAGTCAAATTCTGTTCCAGGTATCTTTAATCAAATCCTGTTCCAGATATCATTCCTTTCCAGGTATTATTACAAGATTTTGTCAAGGTTTAAACGTCAAATAATTTTCAACATCCATCAACTAGGATTTGGTTACAACGTTCTATCAGAAACTATAGCTCATTTATTGTCTGACTGCTAAGACCACTAAACTATATTTTAAATTAGTAAAATACAAATGCTATACTAGCCTTAAATGGATTTATTAGATCTATTTTTTTTCAATTATCATTTGTGCATATCAGATCAGTATTGATCTAAAGAAAACCCAGAAGAATAGAACAATTTAGACATCTGGAGTGAGTAACCAAGTCAATATTTGCAACTTCAAAAAAAACGCTTTCGTTTTAGAAGTCTTTCTGGTATAAAATTTGTTATGGATTTTTAGGTTGAATTAATGTATAATTAAGAACATTAAATGAAAAAGTTAAAAGTTTAAAAGCTGCAAATTTCGGAGTAACAATTATTATTTAACTTTCTTTTACAAATTTTTAAACGATTAAACATTTTTTGTTGATGAACTATATCTTTATTGAAAGCAGTTAGTTAGCAAAGCAGTTAGCGTTAGCAGTCGCTGCGCTATGGTTAAAACGCTGGTGTCAGAATCAAGAGGTCCGAGGTTTAATACCTGCCTAAGTGTATATATATCGTTCTTCCACAGTGCTCTGTAAGAGATTGTTAGTAATAGTTGCCGTGATAAACTGCAACTATTAATAACAATTGTGCTTCTTAGGATGCTCTTTTTTCTTTAGACAAGGTCTAAAAGAACATGCTAGGTGCCATTGAACTTGGTCTGTCAGATTGTTGTAAATTCTTTTCCTCTTTTCTACAAATGCTACCAAAGTTGCATTCAATAATAAAAGCTTCCTTAACTTTTTCTCTCCAGTATCAGTGCCATACAATTCTTTTCATGTTTTCACGATTAATGTAAATTACAGCTTTTTAAAGTGCTTTTTTTAAGTATATTTTATTTTTAATAGATTCTTACTTAAATAGTAGTTACCTGTAGCCTTGTTGGAAGTAAATTTATTTTAAAAGATTTTCTAATATAAAAAAAAAAATGTTTTAAAATATTAAATTTTTTTTTAAATAGAACAAAAAACCGTAAAAGTCAAGAGATAAGAGTAATACCTTTAACAAGATTTGTTGCAAGTAAAAGATATAACAGTTTTACAAGCATCTGACACATTATTTTTAGTTGTTCAACTTATAAAACATAATTTTATCATAGTTTAATGTTTCTTCTACTTATGAGTAAATGCACTTAAGCGTTTTATTTCGATTTAAATTATCGATTACTTGCTCATCTCATCGGAATTTTTATATAAAATGGAATTATCGTAAACTATTGTCTTCTTAACTAAAGCAGTTATAAATCACGATTGAAAATAAGTTGTGTAAGAAACGTCACATCTTTGCTAGTATTAAAAGTCTACTATTGATGTGGGTTCTATATATATTCATTTTGTTAAATGTTTTATTAATTTGTTATACACTTTTATGATGAGATTTTCTGTTTTTGTGGTTTTATAAAGTCAAATAAAATATAAAATACTCGAACAATAATATAAATTTCAAACTAATTCAAAATCATTTACTCGTCCAGATTAAAATAAGTTAAAATAAATATTTATCTTCTGATTGCATTATACCCATTCAATTTTTCCCGAATTTATATAAATAACGTTACGTAATATAAGATAATTTTATAAATAAATTTTTCAAAAAAAACATCCCAAAAAAAAACTTGCAAAATAACTGATTACGAAAGTAGCTTTTCCACAACTTTTTTCAAAAAAAAGTTAAACTTTCAAAAATTTTTAACTACCGGTCTTTGCTTATCTTTGGACGTACAATGTCATCATATTGTTCATAAAATATCTAGTTATTTGCAAAAAATCTAACACTGTCATTAAGATGCTCATGTCTGTCGTTTACGTAGGTTCTTAAACAACTGGAATATA